TTCTTTCTTTCTTTCTTTCTTTCTTTCTTTCTTTCTTTCTTTCTTTCTTTCTTTCTTTCTTTCTTTCTTTCTTTCTTCTTTCTTTTTCTTCCTTTCTTTTTTCTTTCTTTCTCTTTCTCTTTCTTTCTTTGTTTCTTTCTTTCTTTCTTCTCTTTCAAGAATTATTTATTTAATTATAATTGTTATTATTACTTAGTTTGACCAGAGAGAGACAGAGAGAGAGGGGAAAGTAAGAAAGCAATCCACCAGGTCTGGGACTTGAACCATGTCAGCCAGGTGGGAGTCAAGCACTCCAACTACCATACCACCTGCCAGCTCCCATCATGTTTTGTCAAGCTGCTGGGCCTGAGATTTTAATTGCAGTACACCATTATGCCAACTGCTGGTTCTTTCAACACCTTTTTAAAAATTTATTTTCTTCATTCTCTCTCATTTACTAAAATGTAATGACAAGTGTTCACTCATGTCAGCTCCATGACAAACAGTAGTTGATCAGCCAGTTAGAACTCAAGGAAATTTTTTTTGACCTGCTTACTCTTGTCTGAGAATTAAAGGAAAAGAAGAAGAACATAAGCTTTCCAGATGGTTCACTGGTGGGTAAGACTGTATTTTAACCAGACATTTTTCTACCTGTTGATCTATTCAGAATATCACACAATTTGGGGTCTCAACAACTGAGGCAAAATAGTGGAGAATGCAATAAAGAAAAAAGCTGTTTGGCTGGACAAGTCCAAGAGCCCTGGAATACTTTAACCCTACATAAAACCATAAAGCACAATACACCAGAGGTAGTGGGTTGAATGGCTCCATCTCAAAAAAAATATTTTTTTGAGAGATTTTTGCTATAGGATGCGTGCTCTCACTGGAGAGACAGAGAGTGGAAAAATCACCTTCTGGGGAGATGGTGTGCTGTAATCCCTCCTCTTCTAATATCTTCCCAGGATTTGGGGCACATACACACACACAAGTGCCTGAGTTTTAAGACACCAGGTGTGGGACTTGAACTGCAGTCGACTACATGGGAGTCCAGCAATGTAACCATTAAGTCATCTACTGGTCCCCAGCTCAAAATTTATGGTCTCCTTTCCCTAAGCTGACCTTCTCTTTTTTTTCCTGAGACCTCAGGTACTGAGCCTATCTAGTTCTTTAGGGCTTGTCACACATCCTATTACTTTTCTAGGTTTTGTGTTTGTTTTGCCATTTCTTTCTAAAATTTTCAGTAATATAGATTAAGGTATGACCTGAAAGAGGATATCCCAATGATGTAATAGCATTCTTATGTTCTTAAACATCTCTGAGAAGAATAATTGTAACTCTAAGCTGGCAATTGTTAGCTAAACACGATAAAACCTATGTTCTTTCAATTCACAATAACTACAGATGAATGCGTTTTTACCTCTTCTTTTAAAATGAGGAAATGTAGGCTCTACAGTTTTAAGTGTCTTGCCCAACATTAATGACTGTTCAGAAGCGTAACTAAGATTTGA